GAAAGGCCAATATGGCGGCCGAGAAGAACAGGCGTATCGGATATATACTTCAGTCCGACTCAGGGCAGAAAACAGCGCTGGATTCTGAGACAAGTAGGTTATCATTCTTTATTCTACTCTACTTGTCGCGTGTGCGATACGGATCGTGCTTGCCGGCAACGGGCTCGGTCGTGTTGTATGTCGCACGCAATAAATGCATCGCGAAGGTCAGCTTCGGCGTCTTCAGTTCGACTGTGCTTTGTGACCGCCTGGCAATTGGCCATCATTGCCGTCGGCCTCCCGTAGGCTCGTTCATCGAGTGCTCGCCTGTCTTCGCCGCCGCGATGAGCTTCGTGCTGACGATATTGGGCTGAGACCTCATCGCTGTGTTGGGAGTCGTCGAAAACACGTTGATGGTTCTCGTAAAGAGTTTGGTTGTAGTATTTCGCGCGCTTTAAATGCACCAGCACGGGCTAGTGGGGCTTTCGCTAGCGTCGGAACTCACTAAAAATTGGTCACCATTACAGTTGGCTTCCCCGTCAGTCGGTCGCAAGCAGCTTGGCGCAGTGCGTTGGCCGCGGTGGCGGACTCGCGTTTGCACTCTGCACTCGCTCGAGTTTGTGCAAAAGGGCCGCATTACCGTCGATTTCTTCGGTGTTAGCTCCAAACCAGCTCAGCGCTGTTCGTGGCGGTGGCCAAGCGTACGCTCGCTCTCCTGTTCGAAGTTCGCTGGCGGCATACACTTTGCGTGCAGTGCCGTGTTTAGTCTCGCGTTCGCTTGCTCGAGCTGAACGACGTCGCTCGCTTAGGACTCGCCGACTTGTTAGTGGCACGGTGGTTCGCGGAGTGGTGACTGCGGCCGCCGCTCAAACTGTTGCGCTACCAAGATCGAAATCAGTCTTTGACGATGTGTGACATCGCGGTGAAATTAATAAAATTATTAGCATGTCCTATCTCACATATGTTTTCGTTTGACCTAGCACGTATTCCTCATTTGCATGTGTATTCATCCTCTGTCACGTGCGACTCACTATTTTACATACTTATTGTGCAGTTGTGGGCACACACCGTGCTGAAGACTATGCCCTGGCGTCTGCAATGCCTCTCATCCACCTCTTCCGTCAGAGCAGCTTTAGAAGGACTGTGCGAGATGTGAAGGTAAAGTTATTTGTTTGTCATATTCTAACGCTTTTTTATATTAAAGTGCACGTACTTGTCTTATGCGTGAATCTTCATCTTCTGTGACGTGTGCCTAACTATGTTTACTATATTATTGTACGTGCAGGAGTGGGAACACAACAGGCAGAAGGCTGCGTGCGCTGGCATCTGCAATGCCTGTCATCTATCGCTAACGTCGGAGGAGCTCCCCAAGGAGTGAACGAATTTGGCAACGAGACTGGACTTGTACACTTCAACATAAATTCACTTAAAAGAATGGGGAAACTTCATGTGTATCTCGAAAAATAAAAGAATTCGATGTCTCACTTTTGTCTTTCGTTGTTGCCATGACTGTAAAGCAGTTACACATAGGTGGCTAACTACTTTTTCGCGTGTTCTCTTCTGCGGAATTTCTTGCCCGCTGCGCAGAAAAACAGGCGAAAAAAGTATTAGGCTGGGTGGCGAATAAACAAAAAAAAACAATGTTTGAACTAGGGACAAAAATTTCATCCGATTGGAGTATTTGAGTGGATCAACCGTTCGTCCGGCAAGGTGAAACTGTGAGGACTAACGGTTGCCTGGTGAGATGTAAATGTGGGGATTAACAGTTGCTTTACAAGTTGCAATTGTGAGGACTAACTGTTAGTCCTTTGGGGTGAACTGTGGGTCTAATTGTTACTTACCATGGTGTAAATGTGAGGACTAACTGTTAGTCCCTTGAGGAACTAACTGTTAGACCTGGTGCCGTTAGTGCTTAAAGAAATTAATGGTTGTTGCAGCCCCATTAGTCCCGAAAACGACGATCCACACACCCTTTTGCCTTAGAGTGTACCTCTGATATATGTTCTTTATGTTTACTGCAGGATGTTACCTGGCAGCGAACTATATGTCAGTTGTGTTCACTTGCAAGTGCGCCATAGTTCACATGTTGGTAAGAAGCGGTAGTACAAAAATAGTACTTACCAGTGACGTGCGGACAGAGGGGTGAGTGACTGTGCCGAATCCCCCCCTTTTCTCGTTATGACACACTCATGCATCCCACACACACATACATACACACACACACACACACACACACACATATATATATATATATATATATATTAATTTATTTATTTACCAGTCTCCATCGCTTACAGGGCTCCACCCACAAGAAGCAGAAACGAAGTAAATTTCAAGTAATGAATGCTTATGCAGGGTCCCGTGTACACGCCCGCGTGAGTCGTGCTTAATTCGCTCCAACTGCGTCGATAAAGCAGCTTTCCAGGCGTATATAGCTGTAGCATATCCGACGTACCCCGATTAGCCAGCCTTGGGATGTTTATTCGTCACATGTACACGAGTTCGTACGATATGTCTTTTGCTGACACAGCTAGGGAAAGCGCAGCGTCCCCATTGAGACACGCAGTCGACGCGGTACGATCAGGTGCGAAAAAAAAAGAAGGGGAGAAGGGGCAGCACACCGCCTGCTGCGACTGTATTCAGCTTTCCCCGTCGTCCCTAATACTGAGACGCGATCTCTTAATTGCACAGCTGCGCACAAAGTAAGAGAACGCACCCCGGCTTCAGTACCACGTGGTTGTTCGCGTTAATTACGTGGCACACACACTCGAGATAAAGTTTATGATTGATTGATATGTGGGGTTTAACGTCCCAAAACCACCATATGATTATGAGAGACGCCGTAGTGAAGAGCTCCGAAAATTTCGACCACCTGGGGTTCTTTAACGTGCACCCAAATCTGAGCACACGGGCCTACAACAGCGCAATAAAGTTCATCGCACTCGCGAAATGCACGGCGGATGACGCGTCGTTGATTCCCTAACTCTGAGACACGATCTATTAATTGCACAGCAGCGCACACAGCAAGAGAACGCGCCCCAACTTCCGGAACGCGCGTTTTACGTTCATTTTGTTAATTGAAATGGTCAACGTAGCTCACGCACTCGCGAAATGCACCGCGAACGACACCAAACTCTCGCGGACAAACCACAACTACAAGGGCGAATTTATCTGCTAAATTAGGGGGCACGCTGGCAACAACTACCCCAAAGTCTGGCAACTGATTTATGCAGCGCCAAGCAAAACCTTGCCGTGTGTTGAGGTGTGCTTCAGCTCTGTATTTATTTTTTGTATTCTGCCGGTGCTGCTTATTACGAAGATGAGCTATGCTCAAGCGAGGACGTGTGGCGTAGCATTGTGGAGCACCCGCCAGATATATACCACATTTCTGCTGTCAGCGCTTTGTTAACACTGAGGGCGTGATAACGATGCCGCGCTACATTTTTCGTAACAGGTGGACAATAAGTGAAGTTTGTGAACGTAGCGAACTTGTTTTGGGGTATAGTTTTATTAGAATGAAGGCAAATTTGTGCGAAGTTAAGCGTGGGCGAGCATTTTTTTTAACCATGGTTCAGTGTGCGAAGTAGGGAGTGCATGTGTGAGAAGCGGGAGTTCGGCGGCAGATTTGTGGTGCAATTATGTACAAATTCTAAGTCCGGATGGAGGTGGTCTGTTCCATTCAGTCGCATGCAGTTGGACTATTCGAGCCGTGACGAACGCTGTGACGTTCTATGTGACGTGGGGCGAGGTGTCACGTGACTGTTTTTTTCTGGTTTTCGGATAAGGGTGAAAGAACGGTCAGAAAGACCATCCGAAAGGACCTGGGTTGATTGAAATGGCTGCAAAGCGGCATGGAATGAATTGTATTGTGAGGTCTTTAGGACTTTTCAGCATCCGGGCACATAGACTGCATGGCGTTTCCCACTGCCACGGTTTTTCGTCTCGCCTGTGCGACAGCTGCAGCCGATCAGAGACGACGAAGCGAGGTTAAAGATGCATTCGGAAAGTTCACTGAAAAAAGTTCCGGCAATGTTCTCGACTGTACGAACGAACAGTGCGTAGCTTGTGCGATGAACTTGTCCCTATCATCGGATTCCAGCGAGGCAGTGACCTTTCCACAGAGAGGAAAGTGTTGTGTGCGCTGTGACTTTTCGCCCCCCGTTGCTTCTAGAGAAGCGTTGGTCGCGAGGAGCACATCGGCAAGTCTCAGCCGGCTGTGAGCAAATTTATCCACGAGGTTATACAGGCCATCATCACTGTGGCTGCTAGGAAAAAGCTGACGGACTTCCCACTGAACAAGCTGCTAGGGATGAGGCAAAGGCGGAGTTTGTGCTACGTGGTTGCATCCCAGGTGTGCTGGCGTGTGTCGATGGCACGTTGGTCACTATTCGCAAGCCAGAGGGATTCAGACTTGCCAACACGGCGAGCTTCATGTCCAGAAAGGGATATTATGCCCTGAACGTCATGATCGTAAGCACCGTTAGGATCCTTTCTTACTCGCCCATTGGAGCAATTGTTCAGTTTTGACGCCCAAGCTGGAAAAAGTAATAATGCAACGAATAAAATAGAACCTGCGGGGAACGGGGTCCAAACTAGTTGGTGGCTCGCAAGGCCTCGGTAATCAGAAGTGGCAAGTGTTTTGTGCATGAGCCAGTTGCCATTTTTGTACTGGCGTGCATGCGCAATTAAGTTGTTCATTTTGGCGGTAATCAGTAAGATGGGCCGAAGACGTAGCAGAAATAAATACTCGACAGGTAAGTATTTCAAACACGAAAAAGCTTACAGATTGCATGAGCTGGCTTTGGCATTTGCGAAAGTTCTTTCCCAATAGCAAGGCGTAGGTTTTCACTTATCGATCATTCAATGGAAGTCGTAGCCATGTGTGCAGCGGAGGAGGGGTCATTGCCCCCCTCTGCTCTCCTCAGTTGCTACACCCTATGTTTCCTTCAAAGTAAAGCTTCCTGTACCAATAACTGTACCAATACGCATTGTTTCCTGCATATGCGTAGAAGACAGGGATTTGTTTGGAGCATAAATGCAGTCCCATTTTAGATCGCTCTTTATCGCAGGTGTGCAACGCGTGGATGCGATTCCTTGTCATGGACCTATGATGCCCAAGTTCGTGCCGCGATTCCTGGGTGTGGAAACACTACCCACAGCGAGCACGCCTAGCTGCACATCTGCAGCCTGGTGAATATCTGCTTGGTAAGTATAAATGTGTACTAACTGGGGCAGAGCACTCAGCTTTAATGTTTCTATTGCAGGAGACGCAGGGTATCCCCTCGAGTCATGGCTCCTAATTCTAGTCCCTGGCAGTCAACCACGCAACACCTCCGAAGGCCGATACTTAGGGAGCATGTATTCATGCGCAATGTTGTGGAAAGATGTATCGGAGTATTGAAGAGCAAATTCCGCTGCTTGCAGCACTTTGGAACGATGCTTTACAACCCAATCGAGCAGCGCAAATCATCTATGCTTGCGTTGCTCTTCACAAAATTGCGTTGCATGCGGGCGACTGGACCTTGGACGAGTATGTTGTGGACATGTCACCAGCTCAGGATGAGGAGCCAGAGGCGAACCATACGCTCACACCATGCAACATGCTGCTCAGAAGACAGCAGCAGTGCAGGGCTGTCATGGGCCTTTCTTGAAGTACACAGGAACGGTGAGTTTTCATGTTTTCATATCACACACATTATTTACTTCTACTTATTCCAGTGCATCTTGTCACGACAGGGCTGTGTTTGCAACATTTGAATACACAAAGCACTTTCGTGCTTCAATATGAAGCAAGGTGGCAATGTGAAAATGCCACATTTCCTTTATATGTCACATGAAATATGCAACAGAAACGCCCTTTTTCACATCAGCGATCACAGTCACAACAGACTAGATTGAAGCAAGCATATATGAGCGGCACTCTGTGCTGAATGCTGCCATCAAAAAATTGTGCGAACAATGCAGAAACGTCACACAATTTCTTTTACTAGAACGCAGAAAAATTGCAATTCCATTAGTAACATGTCGCATGAACACATGATACATAGGTTCGTCTATTCTCATAGTCACTGACTACAAGCATTCGATTGTGCACGCCTGGCTTGACGAGCTATTGGGCTAGTCAAGTTGTGCTGGTTTTTTGCTCATTGTCTTAAACAATATATAAATGTTGAAATAACATTTGATTTGAATTCTCGACTGCAGTCATGTTGCTATGATAAAAATACCTCAATCAAGAGAGCAAACAACAGGCGAGTTGTTTTGATAACATACAGCACGAATAATTTGCTCATCAATCTCGCGGCTCCCAAACCATACCACGTTCAAAATTTATTCCCGCGAAGAGTTTACAATGAAAACAAGATTAAATCAATCGCTGGCATGTTGCTGTGATGATGACCATTTACATTTGTGAAACTGTCCAACATCACCACTTACTAGCTTAGTGCTCTCAAAAAAGGCTCAGAATGTAGTTGTTGTACCTTAGCTTCAATGTGCTGAAATGAAGATATCACAGTAAGCTGCAGAACAGTGTGAGACAAAAAGATATCACATTCCTACACTATGCGATATTGCTGCATAAAAAGAGCAATGAGGTGGAAAACATGGTGGGACAGTACAAATATTACAGTGCCAGAAACATTTACAGAAAATGTCAACTATACGCTCATGGTCTCCTTTTGAATGACTAGACAACTTTGAAATGTGGGCGAAAAACACTGCCACTGGAGCAGCTCGATCATAAATTGAGAAACGCATATATAACATAAAAAATGCTGTACTCCTTGTACAATGTAAATTATAACCTAAATCTAGTAATATGTACTATATGCGAACAAAGAAAGTATAAAATAGAACATGAACAGCAAATCGGAAACATATCAAAACCACTAAACCAATAATGAATCATAAAAAGTTAAAACATTGAAAACATGGCACAAAATAAACTAAGCTATGTAGTCTCTCCCGAAGCGAATAAAGTTGAACATGAACAGCAACACCTAAACATAATGAAACCGACAAATTATTAATTAGTGATGACAAGTAAAAAAAATTGAACAGATGACGAAAAATAAACTAAACTACGTATCTCTTTCTCGATGCGAAGGCCCTCAGCTATGGCCCGTGCCAAGGACGGGACCACCTGCAGGATTCCCTCTTGCGCCAATGCCACCTTCTCCTGTGTTGTTGCCATAAGCCGTGCTGCAGAAGCGATGTGGGTGGTCGATGTTTTCATCCCTCGCAGCACCTGTGAAGAATCATCATGGTGGAAATGTTTAGGTGAGCTGCCGGTGAACTCTTAACCATCTCGTGGCGGGAAGCTGCTGCTGCCGAGAATTAAACGGTCACAACAATTTCCCCTCAATTGAATCTCCGCTGGCCTGATGGAATCCTTTGGAAGTATGAAGCTCCGTGTACAATATGCCCTTTTCATGCGGACCAACAAATATTTGCTGGAACTACTCTTCATGTATCTCTCCAATTGCATCTCTCACCATCAAACAGCCCTTTTTAACGCCCAGCAATTTACCATTGCAGATATGCGATATCGTTTCCTCAATACAATGCATGGTTCTTATTTAGAGCCCAAGTTGGTTTCAGTCATCATAATAGAGCATGAAGAATGTTTACGCCCTTTATGTAAAATGTAAAGAAAGAGTCTACTTACTCTGAGCACCTTGTCGCCCTGCTCAAGGCTCTGGTCCTGCAATCAATAAAGCACGAAGCTATCAGATGCTTGCATGTTAATGTGTCACGGCCATATGTAGCCGCTTCAGTGGCCTCCACCTCCATTTTCACCGCAAACATCCACCTGCTGTAAAGTGTCGTAAGCATCAACTTTCAGAAAGTGGGTATTCGTTACTCTGGCTATATTACAACCTCATGTACTAAACATCTGCGGAAATGTTCTGCAGCTTATTGGTGGTCAATGATACCATGTATTACAATTTTAGAGCATGCACTTGCCCGCAGGCCACGGAAGCCAGGCAGCCGACCCCCTCCAGTGCCCCTGAAAATATACACCAATGTCAAAGAACAAATCGCCCACGCCATTCGATGGTCACTCACGTTTGTGCCTCTCTGATGGCGGCGGCGTCACGGCGGGTTTCGTGCACCTGCCTGCGCCACCAGGCCTGCAACTCCTGCGCTGGCCCTTCATGGTTCAGCGCATCGCGGCGCTCCTCCCACAGCCGCCGCCGGTCGGCGACGGTGACGCCGCGCGGCAGCTCGATGGCTTTCACCCGAGCTGGGGATGTTCGTCCATAAAGGCAAACAACAGAGCACGCCGAGCATCGGAAACGCGGATGAGCCGCTGCTGCTGTTGGCTACTGGTGCTCTTGCCCTCCGCCATGATTGCACTCGACTGAACCAACGACTTCGAAAGTTGCGCCGTTTAGGATTGAATAGTGTTGGAGATATGGGAAGAGTAACTGCTCGAAACTGGATTGTACCTAGCACCACTACTTACCGTCCTGCTAACGTTATAGTCATTTCAAAACAGTAACAGGAAAAATACGTTTGGATTGTGTCGTATTCCTTATTCAACATTTGAAAACGAGTGCCCCCACAATTCGATAATAGGCAATAATAGTTAAACATTTTTCAACACATTACAAACACTTTTCACTTTGCTTTACGGTCCCCAAGCCGACGTAAAAATGATGACACAGGCCCCCATTTCCCTTATTGGCTGTTTGCTTCCTCTCGTTCTCGCGACCGCTGCACACCACCCACTTTTTGACGTCACCGACAGAACGCCTCCGTCCGGATTTGGAATTTGTACATAATTGCATCATTGAGCAGAGATGTGACGCCGCTTGCCTCTGTCGGCAGTGGTGTTGGAAGGGGGCCCTGCTCGTGATGGAATACTGTTTTGGTTCAATAAATCTTGGTGAAGACGGCTTTTTTTAGCTCTAAGCATTGATCACGTCTAGGGCGTGTATGCTTGGATCTGTTATTTTGTTGTTGTTTTTTGCACACCTGTTCATATTGCGTGCTATAGAAGTGAATCTGTCTCAGACAGTTTCGTATGCTGTACGTTCTTTTTTAAATTGCTATCAGAAATTTTGGTGGATAGCCGAATGTATGCAGGTGCATTCATTCGCGCCGGCACGCATCTTTGAACTACCGTGTTACTCGAGTTGAGTGTTCGCGTGCAGCATGTCGCTTCATCTTAGGTAGGACTCGCAAATCTTGGACTTATGTTTAGGTGGTCATGCTGCCGTTCAGTCAAATCTGAGCTTACAGCATACACGCGCAACATAGGTGGCCTGATTCGGCCGGAACTAGTGTATTATGAGCCGTTCATTAAACTTGAACTATAAATTCGAACAAATCTTTCGTGGCTTATTGTGGCTGAATCCCTATATCTCAACTGTGTGAGCTCTAATTCGATCATTAGTCCATGTAGTTGAGCGCAATTTATTTTATTCAGCTTGTTTTCACTATGCTTGGATTTTGTTATTTTGTTTAAATTTAATAAATATTGTGTGCGCCTCTCCCAACCTTGGTGTTCAAACTGTGCTAAACACTTTTACATGTACAAAAAAGAGGAACAGTTTAGACCACCACCTCCAATGAAATTTTCTAATAGATCACAAGCTTAAACGTATCTGGTGTGGAACAGACATGAAGACAATTGAAAACCACACACTGACCAAGAATAAAAACACCATCTTTGTCACTTGTGAGCAAGCCTCCTGTACGGAGGTCAAATTGTTGTGGTTTTATTCGCTTTCAATCGTGGCGAGCGTGTTGTTTTAATGAGTTTCACATGAGATGAGAAGCTTGAGTAAATTCTTAGGCATGCGTTACAGTTGTAGGAAGGATCTCTGGGGTTCGCAGAAACAAATATTTAACTTATCCCCTAAAACTTTCAATAATGTTATGCATCCCAATATGCATGCATAAGGCATGCACGTGTTGCTGTTAAAATGTGAATTGGGCATTGCATTTATCCAAGAATCATGAATATAAACATGTCCCTAAGCTGTTTGCATTGAAGAATTATACGTCGGAAATTAGTCTCATATAATGTTTATTGTGTATTGCTAAATCGTGGCCAGTAGCGTCCAGGATTCTGTTTACCGGAGATTGTTAAATAAGCTTACATGCTTTGTTGGGATGGTATGTAGTTCAATATGGATGTCTTCTATGTCTTAACAATTCCACTTTTTTTCATACATTCGTAACACAGCCTGTGATAAGAGGTATGTGAAGGATGAGTGAGGGGCACTGCCTACTTAGCCAACCAGAATTATTGAAACTAATGGCCATTATATAGCAGCAAACAATAGTAATTTAGTCAAAAAAATTTCTGATAACATAGATGTAATCGTCTCGATGTGAGCCGCCAGAAGAAAGCTGCATTAGCTGTGTTCAACATAAAATTCATAATTTTTTTCTAATGTTAACCTTCAATAAACACTTCATAAAAGTGCATACCAACATATATGTGCTGTCGTATCACTGAATTGGCATGTATACGCACTATGCAGTAGGGCTATTCAAGCATATTTGTGACATACCTGTAATGTGGAAATTGCATAGTCCTTTTTACAAAGTTGGAGCTGTGTTCGCCGAGAACATTGAGGAATTTTTTCTTGTAACATATCCGGTTTTTGTACATCTGACTTTTTTAAGACACATTGTTCCTGATCGACCTAAAAAGACTGCCAATTGAAGCTTTACTAACCGACACATTTTATTAAATTGTCATTTTTCGTTTCCATCGCTGCTTATACATGCTCGTCGTACGAAGAGAGTGGAAGACGTCCGGACTAGCCTGTCAATAATGCTGGCTAGTGGAAAACTTGGCTGCTGATGTACAGCAGCTGCACATGGTTTCTGTTTTCTGTGAAAAGGGAACTTCACAGAACCACCTGGCAGCTGTATTCAAGGAGCGAGTATGTTCAGGGTGTTAAAATTAACCCTATTATTTTTCATTAAAAAAGTCAGCGCTGTGAGTTATGTGTGTAAAAGCAATCTTTGCAGCAGATAGCGATGTATCTAGGAGGACGCAATGTGAGACAATAATTATCAGTGTAAGTGGTGCCGTTGAGCCAGAATAATTATTAACTTATTTGTGACCGCAGCAGGGCGATCACGTATGTGGTAAACATTTGAGCCAGTTACTATTCTACACAACTTCACTTGTAAAAATTCTTTCTTGCCTGCGCTCAGATATCACGCTTGAACGTTTAGTTGCAGCTGGCGTCATTATGTATGCAGGACAGTGAGAACAAGGACAGACTCCCTGATGTGATTGATGCATTTATTATGACCATAAATCGAAGGCATAAGTGAACAATATAATATTGGTTACCCTTTTACTTTTGGCTGGCGATAATAAGAAGTGGCAGCTGGTCTCACCAGGGAGTAATCTTTCGCTCATCCTCACTGCCTTGCAGGCGTAAATATGAAAAATAAAATTAAACTTTGGAACGGGATATCTAGGAACATAAACATGCTCAAAGAAATTTTCTATGTGGGACCGTGTAAAATACGACCGCCTCAAACTTTCCAATACAGACATACCTGCTTCTTTTATTTACTGAAATTTTGATATTTTTCGTTGATTGTCCAATCGACAGCATTAATTTTTTCTTTGTGTCCCCCAGAACACAACTTATCTGGCAAAGTGTTCTGCTTTTGGAGCTGACTTTCAGTTCAACTACAAAGTACATTTCCGAATGTGTCAGCGTTAGTTACTAAGCTGTTTAATGCATATTCAGTTTTTTGAGATCTACTAAGTGAGTGGCCCTCCATACTCGCATGTAATGCTATGATTAAAGCATTATGTGCAATGAGCCGTTTAAAAACACTTTTGTTTTGTTGTGATAAAAAGTAGCACATTATTTTATTTTCACTGTAACATTCATTCAACATTTTATTTAAAAACACTTTTTTTCTGTTGTGTTAAAAGTAGCACAATAATTATTTTATTTTCGCTGTAACATTCACTGAACATTTTATTTTATTACGTAACCTTAGTTATTTCATTGTCTTTGGGATGTTTCATTCTCAGGTGCAATCAAGTGATTTCCTACTGTCGTACTTCATACTTCATCATACCTATTTTTGCAAATACCTAACCATGTGTGATATTTCACTGTAATACATACTCATGTTAATTATTGTTGATGATAACTAATAAAAGGCATTCTGGAATATCTTACTTCAGTCCATGGATGGGGGGTCAATGGTGAATTTTTTCAACTACACAGTAATGTGTGTTTGCTTTATTTTTTGTTAAGTGTAATAAGAACGATGTTTTCTGAGTTTCTGTTACAACCATGTTATGATTATCACTAGAGACTGGAACTTTAGCAACCAAAAAAAGAATGTTCCAGGTGCCTATATTATGCCCAAAAACTGCCATTTATGCATAAATAGGTAATATAAACTATCGTTTAGGCACATTAAGTCACAAATAATAAAATAGCTTAGAAGTTTTACACAGATCAGCGCAGTAGCCGGCACAACCACGACCCTAATACTATAAGAACTAGCAGCAACCCAGATGACACCCCACCAGAAATGATAGAAGAAATCATAAAAGCCTTGCGAAGCATGCGTAGAGGCAAAGCTGCTGGTTTAAAACTGGTAACACCAGATTAGCTGAAAGATGAAGGACAGGTCGTGTGAGAAAAACTAGCCACCCTGTTTCCGAGGCGTTTCCCGAGAGGAAGAGTTCCTGACGGGAAGAGTCTTGGAAG